CAAATTGTAATGGAGAACTTTCTTCATTACCCCATAAAAATGCTTGAGTGCTCCAACTTTCATTTTTCCCTTCAACTGTGCCAGGTCCTTATACATCAAACTTGTGTATTCCTAGAGTGACTTACTCCCATGGGTGTTGTAAGGATAGACTGTGGTGTTGGGAGGAGGTCTCTCGTCATGTAATGCCTCCGCAATAACTCCCGAGGTGACCTTTATCACCTTCCCTCTCACATTGGTCTTCAACAAACACAAGTCTTCATCCACCACCCATAACTTTTGATAAAACTCCCTATATATGGGAAGCACAAATCCCCCCACGGGTTCGAACCAAACATTAATGCCATGACCCTCTATCACTCGGACCACATCATTGTTTGGCTCGAGGGTAGGTCTATCTACCTGCTGCTCGCACGTCACATTCTTGCCCTTTATGCTCTTTGTTCGAGAATCATTCTTTCATTTCTTCCTTTGTTCCCCACCATTGGGGCTTGCCTCCTTGGTCCTCTTTTGGGATCTAGTCCCAGTTCCCGCGGATGGTGGAGATCCAGGGCTCGTTTGGTTAGTACGAGCCATCACTATAAAAAATATCCCTAGGGTGACAAATGGCAACAACAAACCCCACACTACATCAAAAATGTCAAAGTACGCATGAGAAGACATACACAATCGAGCCATTCCTCCAAATTCCAAGCCTTTAGTGAAAATTGAGATTATTGATGGATTAGTGATGCTTTGTGGAGGAAAGAAGGGTTTTGNAGACATACACAATCGAACCATTCCTCCAAATTCCAAGCCTTTAGTGAAAATTGAGATTATTGATGGATTAGTGATGTTTTGTGGAGGAAAGAAGGGTTTTTGGGGGGTAAAGGTCAAGGAAATGAGAAGTAATCACTACGAATCAAAAACTTGGGGAAGAAAATCAGTGGAGTTGATGAATACCCAAGGTCTTTTTTAGTATTTGGAGTGTTTTGAGAGAGGAGAGAGGGTTTTTAAGGTTGAGATGGATGAAGAATGTGAGGGGTTTTACTGAATTTTTGGGTTAAAAACCCTCATTTTTGGGCATCTGGGCAAAACCTACAGGTAGGTTGTTAGGGTTCTACTGGTAGAACAGTGCACTGGAAAATTTCTACCCGTAGGTTTTGCAATATTCTATTAGTAGGTTTCAACTTTTTGCAAAAATTTTCCTACGCGGTCATCCTCGCCCCCACTCCAAATTTATTTGACTCCAACACATTCTAATGACCAACTCAACTTCACAAAAAATNCGCGGTCATCCTCGCCCCCACTCCAAATTTATTTGACTCCAACACATTCTAATGACCTAATGACCAACTCAACTTCACAAAAAATATGATCCATGCTAGTGAACCACAATGTGTGACCACGCCCAAATTCATTTACGAAATTGCAATGCAATTTGAGTTTTTGTTGCTTTCAAAACAAATGACATGGAATTCTAAATTCAACAAAATGAACACCCAATATGAAAAGCACAAAATAAAGTACAAAAGACATTCCTCTTCCTTTTGCATATCTAAAATTTGAGCAATATTCCCCTATCCTATCAGCTCAGGGTTGCCTGACACAATTTTTCAAACACCTGAACCAATCACACAAGAGTTTCATCATAGCTTTAAATGCTATTCTAGAGTATACACCTACATATTTCTTTTCAAACTCGCGCGTGTGTGTGATATGAACATGTAATTTAAGCATTCACTCAACATAATCCACATTCATTTAGCTATTCAAATTCAGCTTTCATGTAATTCTCACCAAGGGTTTCTCTAAAAAATGAATAACTCTATGATTATCCTATCCATGTGTATATGTGAAATAGAATCTTATGCACAAACCAAAATGCTCATATATAATCCAAAAATGACGTGCATGCTTTCTCTTCATTTAAAGTGTGCTCTCACCATGCTTTCTCTAGATCATTTAGGGATTTCATGGGTTATAATGAGGCCTTACGGTGATATTTGGGCTAAGTGAAATGAAGGGTAGAGAGAGACAAAAAGGGTTATTTTGAAGATATGACCTTTATTATCAAAAATCTCATTTTTGGGAAATTTTTGGCTTTTCACCCTCACGTCAACTGTTATATCTCATTTTCTTCTTCTTTCTTTTTCTTTTCATTGCTTTTCTTTTTCAACCCCTATTTCTCTTCTTTTTCATTCAAAATTTAAATTCAGCGCCATTCATCCCTTTTTGGGTTTCCTCACCACATTTCCTTTTCTTCATGGTTAATCACAGTCAGTCTTGCAAAAAACCAAGGTGTGGTAATTGTAATCATTTTGCACTAGCTTGGTAAAACATGTGGCATGGAAATGAATTTTCAATTAAGGCTCAGTCATGGCACTAGGGATAAATTTTTCAAAAGAAAAAGGCTAAGTCTCAACGCAATTCAAAGATGGCCTAAGATCCTCTCTAAATAATCATGTGGAGGCATATTGGCATGTCAAGACAAAATCAATAAACTATCCACATGCACTCTAACCAAAGCAAGCATAATGAGATTACTGAACATATTTTGAATTTAAAAATTTGTTCCTTTGAGTAAATGTAAGTCCCCTTCAACAAGGATTGACACTAAAGCTCACACTGATACTTACTTCATCTCCATTATGTATGTCAAGCTCTAAAATGTGGATTCCATCAGTAAATTTTTGAAATTACACATTAAAGGTGCACTATGGTTGAGTTCAAAAGAAAACACATATGTAATACTTAGGCATAGGATAAATTTCTATGATGTACTCATGTGTTCAAAGTTTAAGATGATGATCAAACTATCAATAGACCTGTAACACTTTGAATAGGGGAATATGGTTCAACATTCAGATATTTTCCACAAAATTTTTAAAAATTTTCCACCTATCACCTAATTTAACTCAGTGTGACTTCCATGTGCCCTTCATTTAATCCAATTGTCCAGTAGTGCCTGGGGAAGTAGGAACGTGAACTGTGCGGATGTAACCACCAAAGAACTATTGTGAGAGCCTGTATTTAAACGCTTCTTGGCACCACATTCTAGCACGTTTCAAGAACTTCAAGACTCTTGGTACGTCTTTTCTTCCCATTGCTCATCCTTTCTCTTTCTTTTTGCACTAAAATTCTTCAAATTGGATTATATAGGGTGGAGTTACACCTTCAAATTCCATTTCTATAGATTATGTTTTCTTTAGTGGAAAAATCACAATCTTGATATGTTAAGGTTCTATGTAGATAGCTCTATCTGTGTTTTGCTAGAATCCATTCTTGATTCCGGCCTTTCTGTTCTCACCTATAGGGCTAATTGTCCTCCTCCCCTAACTTGTACATCAACCATGGTAGTTTTGTCCCCATGGCCAGAGCGTACTTTATATGAGAGCACTCCTTTGTTCATATCCGAAGCCAATAGGGCCAAAAAGGATTCTGATTCCATCCTAGAAACTGCCTCCTCATCGATAAAGATTATGGGGTCGAAGTTGTTTCAAAGTTCCCTCACAGACAGTGCTCTGAACAAAATTTAGAGCTTTATACCAGATTCCTAAACTAGTACGACTTCGGTCACCCATTTTAGATAAAACCATTGATTCATATAACCTGAACGAAGTCTACTTTTTTGAATCCATCTTCGAGGTTGGGTTTCATTTCCCNCATCATAGCTTTAAATGCTATTCTAGAGTATACACCTACATATTTCTTTTCAAACTCACGCGTGTGTGTGATATGAACATGTAATTTAAGCATTTACTCAACAGAATCCACATTCATTTAGCTATTCAAATTCAGCTTTCATGTAATTCTCACCAAGGGTTTCTCTAAAAAATGAATAACTCTATGATTATCCTATCCATGTGTATATGTGAANCCCATTCCTTAATACAATAGGGAAATCCTCCATTACTTGAAACTTTCCCCTTCCCAAATAATTCCAAATAGTTGGAGGTTCTTAGTAGGCATTGGCGTTCTTTGGGCCCAAGCCAATGGCAATGGTGCTTGTCCTACCATTGCCGAACTTTTGTNAGATAGAATCTTATGCACAAACCAAAATGCTCATATATAATCCAAAAATGACGTGCATGCTTTCTCTTCATTTAAAGTGTGCTCTCACCATGCTTTCTCTAGATCATTTAGGGATTTCATGGGTTATAATGAGGCCTTACGGTGATATTTGGGCTAAGTGAAATGAAGGGTAGAGAGAGACAAAAAGGGTTATTTTGNGCCGTACTGCAAACCAATCTTAGGTGTAGAGCTTGGGGTGGTTCTAACTATCCAAAAGTTGGAAAACTAACCTTTTGACAAGTTATTCCTCCAATGTTAAGGAGTANAGGGTTATTTTGAAGATATGACCTTTATTATCAAAAATCTCATTTTTGGGAAATTTTTGGCTTTTCAGCCTCACGTCAACTGTTATATCTCATTTTCTTCTTCTTTCTTTTTCTTTTCATTGCTTTTCTTTTTNTGAAGATATGACCTTTATTATCAAAAATCTCATTTTTGGGAAATTTTTGGCTTTTCACCCTCACGTCAACTGTTATATCTCATTTTCTTCTTCTTTCTTTTTCTTTTCATTGCTTTTCTTTTGNTAGAAGGAAAACTTTTTTTCATTCCTGGTCCTGGATGGGAGTTTGGTCCTTCGGAGATCTTCTCTAGTCGGCCCTTTTTGGTTCCCCATTTATAGGTGTACTCGTCCATCCATTCGTAAGTAATGGACTTTTTTTTTGTTCCCTTGTTCTATCAGTTTTGCTAACTACTTTCTTTAATGTAGGTAAAGCAGACCTTTTGCCCCCAAGTTCTAGTAGAGAGTTGAGAGAGCGGCGGCTTATTCTAATAAAGATCTCTCCACCTTGGTGACTAACCAAGCTCTTTCTTACTGCAAGTTGGGTCCACCTCCTCTAGTCACTACTCCTCTACATCCTACTCCTCTACATCCTAGTCCTTCTCCTTCAAGTGGTAAAGCCCAATTCTTGCAAAATTCTTGCCTTATCATTGCTCAAGCTCTAACCTTTCTCCTACTTTGGTGTAGGAATGGAACCTAAGATCGACAAGAAGCTACTTAAAGAGCTTTTCACGCAAAAGGCTTTGGAGGGTGATTCACCCTTATTAAAGAACCCATAACTTACTCCTTCCCAGTTGAAGGGTAAGTCTCCAAGCTTCTCTATGCATATCAAGTCTTCTTCGGCCTTAAAAGGGTCTGGGGAGAAGAAAGTAAACCCAATGAGTGTCTATAGCAAGAGGTGCTTATGCCAAAGGTTCATGCTACAACTTCAAATATGTAAACCCAAGTACAAGTTATACAAAGTAATATAGAATCAGAAGGCCGAGGTTGAACCCTTAGGGAATTGTGAAAACAATTAGACACCACACTAAACTGTTAACAAACCTGTAAAAATTTTTTCAAGATGAATGTTTGAATTTGGATAGTTGAATAAATTGATTAAAACAGTGTGCAAAATACTATAGCATCAAGTTCACCCTCTCAAATCCATACAGTAATGTTTAAAGACTTAGTTTTCAACTCTAGGCAAGAATCAAGTGTCAACTGACTCCAGTCATCATATTTAGCAATAAGAACAAGAAAATACCTCTGTTCATAACCAAAAGTTTATCCAGAAAAATCAAAGAACTGGTTGCAGGTTGTAAGTATTTACTGTCCCCAGAGTCTACAATAAATCAAACTCTCCTCACAATATTATAATTAACTTGTATTATGTGAAATAAATGGTAATTAACTTAAGCATGGAATGACTAGCTATTTATCTCGTAGGAAAATTCAAGAAATCAAAGTATAAGACACAATGACTCAAGAATCTTTACAGAGCAAAAACTTTACTAAGAATTAAAAGTTAAATTAACAAAATATCATATACCATTAAATCAATAAGTCAATAATAATATCATACTTTATTGAGAGGTTCTCCCCTAGCCCTAGTCAAACCTCTTAGCTAGATATGACAAAATTAAACCAGAAAATTAAATAAAAATACTCCAACCAAAAAGTACTCTCACATAACTCCCCTCCCCTTTATATAGTGTTAATTTGGAAAAGATCTAATTACAATCCAACTCCACTACTGGCGTTGGCATTCTAGCAACACGCGTCCTGACGTGTGTTTCCAACCGTCTAGACGCACTTGGCAGTGTGTTCCAACTCTTCAAGCATTTTAACCTTCACATTCTGTCAACCCCTTCTAGACACAAAGCATTCCACCGTCTAAACGTGTATTCTAATATGCTCATCCTTAGCTGTGCTTCTTTATTCACTTTATCTTCTCCAATTTTTAATCATTTTCCTGCAAAATAAATAAAATTCTTCCATTACTAACATAGTAACAAATCTTTAAGAAATCCCCACACTTAACAACTTTTTCTAAACAAAAAATTAGTGTTTTCCATTAAATAATCACATTATGAGACCATAATCACACCCCCAACCTAGACCTTGCTAGTCCCTAGTATGGTATACAAAAAAAAAACAAAAAAAAAAACAACTCCACTTTCATAGTATTCATGATTGCATGTAGCATATGCAACAAGCCTTTAAACCCCTAAGTTCCCCCTAGTGGACGAGTATAGTCTCATGAGGGTTTACAGAGATGATACCCACAAACATCACCTTATGATCAAATATCTGAATAATAATTTTATAACACAAATTGATGCCATAATATAAAAATTCTAAGCTGTAACCTTTTTNTGAGACCATAATCACACCCCCAACCTAGACCTTGCTAGTCCCTAGTATGGTATACAAAAAAAAAAAAAAAAAAAAACAACTCCACTTTCATAGTATTCATGATTGCATGTAGCATATGCAACGAGCCTTTAAACCCCTAAGTTCCCCCTAGTGAACGAGTATAGTCTCATGAGGGTTTACAGAGATGATACCCACAAACATCACCCTATGATCAAATATCTGAATAATAATTTTATAACACAAATTGATGCCATAATATAAAAATTCTAAGTTGTAACCTTTTAATAAGCACATGCAAAGAAAAATATAGAACTCTACTCTATATACATGTATGCACTTATCACGTTCTCTTATAAAATTGTGTGTAGTATGAATTAACTATACCCAGTCAATAATTCATCCGGTAATCACCTCTACAACTATCAACTATTCGTCTCAATGCCAAATCTCACTGGATAATTCACTCATAAAAGATTTTCTCAAATTATAATGACTATTCTCTCAAATATCACATGTGAGAAGAAGATATTTAAATCAAAATAAAATAATGATCACATGTCNAATTCACTCATAAAAGATTTTCTCAAATTATAATGACTATTCTCTCAAATATCACATATGAGAAGAAGATATTTAAATCAAAACAAAATAATAATCACATGTANCTCCCCTTTATATAGTGTTAATTTGGAAAAGATCTAATTACAATCCAACTCCACTACTGGCGTTGGCATTCTAGCAACATGCGTCCTGAAGTGTGTTTCCAACCGTCTAGACGCACTTGGCAGTGTGTTCCAACTCTTCAAGCATTTCAACCTTCACATTCTGTCAACCCCTTCTAGACACAAAGCATTCCACCGTCTAAACGTGTATTCTAGTATGCTCATCCTTAGTTGTGCTTCTTTATTCACTTTATCTTCTCCAATTTTTAATCATTTTCCTGCAAAATAAATAAAATTCTTCCATTACTAACATAGTAACAAATCTTTAAGAAATCCCCACACTTACCAACTTTTTCCAAACAAAAAATTAGTGTTTTCCATTAAATAATCACATTATGAGACCATAATCACACCCCCAACCTAGACCTTGCTAGTCCCTAGTATGGTATACAAAAAAAAAACAAAAAAAAAAACAACTCCACTTTCATAGTATTCATGATTGCATGTAGCATATGCAACGAGCCTTTAAACCCCTAAGTTCCCCCTAGTGAACGAGTATAGTCTCATGAGGGTTTACAGAGATGATACCCACAAACATCACCCTATGATCAAATATCTGAATAATAATTTTATAACACAAATTGATGCCATAATATAAAAATTCTAAGCTGTAACCTTTTTATAAGCACATGCAAAGAAAAATATAGAACTCTACTCTATATACATGTATGCACTTATCACGTTCTCTTATAAAATTGTGTGTAGTATGAATTAACTATACCCAGTCAATAATTCATCCGGTAATCACCTCTACAACTATCAACTATTCGTCTCAATGCCAAATCTCACTGGATAATTCACTCATAAAAGATTTTCTCAAATTATAATGACTATTCTCTCAAATATCACATATGAGAAGAAGATATTTAAATCAAAACAAAATAATAATCACATGTATATTAAAATAATTATAATTCAAAAGAAAAGGATTTGACATAGTCTCATAAAAGGAAATCAACACACAATAAACAAATAATACCCATTCTTTTCCTTATTCACACAAGTCATGTATCTACCAATACACTTTTGAGATCAGATAGATCTTTATTTAAAGTCATAATAGGGTATTGGGATTAGAGTTTTTAAATGAAGGATATTCAGGAATTCAAAAGACTATCCTGAGAGAACATTTACATTACACAACCAAACTTTTTCTATAATCTTTCACTCTCCATCCTTTAGAAGCACAATTTACAACACTTACTCATATTTTTTCAAAACCATGCTTGCTATTTTTCTCTCTTTTTTTTTTTTTCACAGTTAGACATATTATCATTCTTTCTTTTTTCAGTAAGACAACTAAATGTATATTCTTCTTTTTTTTTAGCAAGACATCTAATGCAGATATTCACAAGTATGCAAAACCGTTTTTTTATCATCTTTTTTTGAACCAACATCTCCCAAATTACATAAACAATAAAAACTCAATCTCGGGATAACCAAGGGTAAAGGATATTATTTTTTTTTCATTGGCTTGGTTATTATATGTTGGGTATAAAAAATAAACTTTTACTTCAAAGGCTCAATCATAACTTTTAGGGATAATAATATTCAAACACTAAAGATGACCTAAAATCATATCTCAAGAGCTTTTGATAACACACTTCCCATGCAAATAATTTAAAGTCAAGCAATCATTCACAATATTGGTGTTGACCAAAACAAAAATAATGAGACTATTGAAGGAGATTAGCTGAATAAAAATATTCTTTATTGAATAAATGTAAATAACCCTCCAAGGAAGATTGGATCAAAACTCACTAGGATTTTTATGCATTTCCACTATATGTTTCAAGTATACCTAACAAATTTCTAACTTGGTAAAGTCTAAAATGTACAAATTGTGAGTTTTTATGAGAACATGATATGAGATACAAAAATATAGAATAAAGTTATATGTGATGATTAAATAGTTGCAAATTTGAAGCTACGAAAATTATTTCTATATTGTGATGTCAAATTATAAATAAAAATGTTATTTAGATATTTAATAACACATCAAAACAAAATATGTGTCTTATATTATATTGAAGTTTCATACATTACATATTTCAAAACATAGGGCCATCAAGCCTAGCCAAAAAAACTAACCACTACCGGGACCTAGAAGAAACAAATCAAACTATGATGAGGGGCCTGCAAGACTCAGAGAACTCTACTCCGACCCCCTCATTTGTTCCCTCATCTTTTTCCTTATCTCCTGCTCTCTTTGTATCTCAAACAACAACTGCCTATCCATCCAGGGAACAGTCTCCTCATTAATTGGTAAATCAAAATCTTTGTCCGAGTTGAGGAACTGATTCCACTGCTCTTCCATAGGCACTGTCCCCTTAGGTGCAGCCTCTCACTATTGCTCATCGGCCTGACCTCTCACTCCTCCTCCTGCCCTAGCCACACTCTAACTCTTCAAAAGAGAGCCAGAGTTGAGAACAACTACCATCTTGGCTTAATCCATACTGGCATCAATTACCACCCCCACCTGCTCACAAAGTGCAGTGGCCAGGCCAGTAAAGGGGAGATACCCCTTCTTCGAGTCTACAATGGCTCGCTGCATCTCGGCAAAAATCAATGAAGGGAGGTCAATAGAATGTCCAATGCCCATAGCGTAGAGGAGTTGAGCTCAGTCAGGGTAAATGTGGTTATTCCTTAGTAGAGGAGAAATATTTGATATCGANCCCACCTGCTCACAAAGTGCAGTGGCCAGGCCAGTAAAGGGGAGATACCCCTTCTTCGAGTCTACAATGGCTCGCTGCATCTCGGCAAAAATCAATGAAG